AGTATAGTACTTGTGAATGAGAACATTTTCTCTAGAGCATTAAACAAATCCGTCAAGAAATAGTGTCAATCAAAGTGGCAAACATCTAGTCTCCTAGCATTTCTTCGGATTGAGAACTAGGTCCTTGGTGATCATGCACTGACACCAAAAGATCATTGCCTATGTTTTCCATTGTATTTTCTTATGGTAGAAAAGGATTAACCCAGGGACATGACTTCCTTTTGTTGATGAGTTAGTGGGCATTCCAGCACTCAACTGATAGTACCTGGGGTTAAGAAATTAAATTGCCACACTAAAGAATATACTGTTCATCAAACATCTGCCTTTTTCTTGTAGAAAATGAGACTTTTGGCATGAATACTCTGTCAATAATTATTAATGCTGGCAGTCTGAGCACTTGCAGCAAGACAAAGCAGTAGCAGAATGAATCACTGAGTGTCCAGTGACTTTGTAGGTGAACTGTAGAGGAGTGTTGTTTACCAAAACATTTGTGTTACAACATTGCTTCTCCTGCCCTAACCCTTTAGGTTGCACCATATGTAAAATCATACCTACCTATGATATATGCCATGTTTCTCCTTTCTTTCCAGCAAGATGCTGATTGGAGGAATGACGTAGACCTGAATTAGCTAGATATATGTGGGGTTTATTTTCTTTTCATTGCGTTTTCAACATGTGATACAAAAAATGATGAAGAATCTGTTAAAGCAAAAGCAGAAACAAGCTTCCCCCTCCCAAATTATACTATTGATGATAAACTGGAAATAAAAAAAAGAGGAAAAAAAAAAAAAGAAGCTTTTTCAGTTACATGTGTTTGATCCTTAAAAATGAATGAATAAGCAAAAACTTGATGGAAATGTGTGGGCCTGTTTAATCTTAAATGTTATACCAGCATGCATCTACATCATGCATACCTACTTAAATACTGCAGTGGTTTATGGGATTGATACTGTTAGATGATCCTCTGTCTGTAATGACTCTTTCAGGAATGCAAAAATGCTCATGAAAACAATAGCATGGATTTAAGCTTTGTGTAGGCATTTCTATAGGAATATGGCTTTTTTGGGGTGGGTGAATGTACTTTCTCTACTACAACTTCACCAAAACCAGAATGCCTGAAAGCAGATTCCGACATACCATGATACACACTATTGGCTGGATTTCTCATGGGAAAAGCAGTGACACCTTGCCAGATCAATTTATTATCTGTTTCCTAAAATTCCAGGCAAGGTACTGATGTATGAAAACCCATGCAAATAATGTGGTCCCGATGTAACACACTATGTGCTGAGTCAGCCATAGTAGGGTTGTGAATATGTGTTTCCAGTCCACAGAACTGTGAGTGCATGTTGAATTCATCAACTTCTGTCATGGCGTTACTTGGCTTTCAGCATATAGTGTAACTGTCTCCCTAAATAATATACTACTTCTTCAAAATATTTACAAACTGTGCAACTGGAGATCGCTAAAAATCAGGTAGTGCTTCCTGTCTGGAAGCACGTTAAATAAAATTTAACTGGGTGGAATATACAGGTGCAAGCACAAGACACTGTCATTTGTACTGCAGGATTATGTCATGTCTATAATCATGGCACACTGCAATTTTTATGCAATTTTTATGCAGTTTTTTTCACTACATGGGACATGAAACCTGTCTGAACTATGCAGATAGTTGTTGATATCAGAACAACTCACTCAGATAAAATCTATAGCATTTACCTTACTGGTCTTGCTCTGGTTTGATGCTTAATTTGGTGCATTTATTCAGGACTGACACAAGATTAACTGGTACAAGAATATGATTCAAGAAACAAAGATATGTCTTTTTTAATGCTTTTGCCAGTTCACCCCTAACACTAAGAAGTAAATAATGATTATGATGACTATAGTGAGGAAGTATGAAAGCTGCTTAAGGTTCTTAGAAAAAAAGAATCATAAAATTAAAATGAACATTAAAAAGGGTGGCTTCTATTTCCTTTTTAATTCCTACTTCAGCTGCTTAGGTATTTTTGATGAATCTAACACCCAGTCATTTCAGGAAGGAGGAGTTTCTATGTAAAACATCAGTGGAGTTATTGTTCTCTCAGAATCTGGCATGTTTTGAGCCGTTCAGTCTGAAATGGGATCAGCAACATGCAGCAGCTTTGAGGGGGAACTAAATGTGTGAAGAAAGGTTGATTAGGCATGGCACTGGTAATGAATGACTGAACATACAAGTTGATAAAAATGGAAGTTTACAATCACCAAAACATTTCACTGCTGCAGAATTAGGAATTAGGTATGTGTTTCCAAGTTTTTGGCAGCCTAAAGGCAAAGGATACTGTATATAATGATGATTGGGTTATTTATCGAGAAAGTCTGATTTTTTAATGAGAGTAAAGTATTCATTATTGCGCTGCAAATTATACAAACTATAATTTGATTTTTTTAAAGCAAGTCTTACATTCTCTAGTGACTGCACAATATTAATTAGGCATTAGCTCCCCAATAGTGCACTATTTTGTTGTGTTCCTGTCATAGTTTGCAGCTAATATTAATAGTAGGAATTTTGAATAACGAATGCAATGTGGTAACAATATATAATTAATCTTTGAATTTAACCACATCCTTAAGGCTTTTAAAGTCAAATACAAGCTTAAGTGATTCACAGAACCATGACCGTAGTGTCTGTAAAATAGAATTGAAGGTAGATTTTCCTAAAAAATTATGATAATCAATAGGACCTGTACATAAACATATAACATATATATAAAAAGAAAATAAATCCTACTCAAAGACAATAAACAAGGGTTTGGTTTGGTTTTGGTTTGTTTGTTTTTCCCCTGGAAGTCCTGGCAAGGCATTATTCCAAAGAGTGGAAGACTAATATTAGAATAAATCTCAATCACTGCTGCTGATACCATGTCATATTACTTGCAGAAACAGGCTAAATGTCCTTCCTCAACCACAACTGATCTGTCTCATATACTAAAGGTAAAGTACTTAAATATGTTGTGGAATACAGATCTGAATAAGAATTTGGTCTAATGGATGATGTTTAATAGTTTGAAACAGAAAAATAGGACATGGAAAATGTTTAATATGAACCAAAGTCTAAATACAGAGATTTCAATATGGTGACATAAACATGCTATTTCAATCTTTTTTCTTCATTATAACAGCTCTCCTTTTACAGGATATGTGTGCAGAAATATTGAGTATGCCTGGTGTATATCTGCATAGATATTTTTCCTTTAATTTCTTTTCATCATTTCTGTGTGACTTTCCTGATGTCAAATCTGTTTGGATAAACAACACTCCACTTCATAACACATACATAAATGCAAGATCAGTTTATACACACCCATTTATAAAGTTGCAAAAAAATATGAAAAAATAATGGCAGCGAATGAAACAGAAAATGTGATGTTTTCTCTTGGTTTTGGTGGCTAATTATACACATAGGAAAAATATCAGTAAAACCCAGTCACCATATTGATCAAAAATGACAAGGACGTTTTATAACTTAGTTAAATCACTGGAGTGTATGGCATGCTTTGCTTCATAGGTGAGAGATGTGCAGCAGACACCAAACATGCACTTCACAGGTCATAGTTAGAACTAGTTCTGCACATCTTGGGTGCTAGTTACAATCTAAGATTCAGCTGACAGCTTCCCAGCAGCACGTGCTTGGGAAGTCTTCATGCAAGCCCTAGGCAAGCCATGCATACACTATTCACTAAGCCCCCTCCTGAGCTTTAATTCTGAGAAATATCCACCTGCAGAATGAATTTAAGGAACTATTTTCTATGGAAATACAGTTTAGAGCAAACTTCAAGGGCAGTACTTTCAGTAAGTGGATGCCTGATTACAGCAATGAAAAAGTGAAGCATAAAATAGTATCTTTTCATGTAAATGTAAACAAGACTATGGGAAAGAAGGGAAGTAAAATAGGCAGCTGGAGAACACATTTTTCCTTGAAAAATTTCATTTAGATGAATGACATCATCATCCTATCAGTGTGGATACTTAGGGTAAAACTGGTCACTGGATAATTTTTCTTTTTTCTTTTTTAAATGCTACAAAATAAATATCTCTTACTTTACCCTGACATCTTTTATTTTTATTTAAGGTTTGCATGACTTGCCTTTTTTCACCAGGAATCCAGTCTTAAATAAGATAATCTTACCTATGTTTATGAGTGCTAGAAATCACTAGAGCTCTTAAAAATGGCAAAGCACATGTGTGTGTTGTTTAGGCTGAAAAGCCAAGAAAACACCGGATGTGCTGCCACATGTCCTAGTTATTAAAAATGATTATATAATTTTTATATGGAGAATGACTGCATGCACTCAAAATGGGAACGATGACCATATCAAATGGTCAATCTCTGTCCCATAATGAGGTGGAAAGTAACAAAAAGGATGTCAGCTTTAAAAAAGAGTAAAGCACAAAGAAAGTTTTAAAACTTCTAAAGAAAAAATTAGGATTTGTTGTGCATTTTTAAGCAATTCTAACTACATGAGGGAATGTTTTGGCTTAAATTGAATTCATTCAGGGTTACCAGAAACATGAACATAAGCAAAGATCTCCCTAAATTACAATTCAGTTCAAAGTTAATGAAATCTCTTTGCCAAATCTCATTGTGTTCAATAAATTTTGGACCATGTCCCTGGAATGTATGAAGCAGAGCAGACTGTCCCACGAGTATAATAATATTTATGCCTGGTCAGTATGTTAATCTCCAGATAACTGACCTGTAAAGAAGTTTGGTTTGTTTTTTTAATCTTGTATTTATGCCTTTTTTTTTTTTTTTTCCTATGCCTTTTAAAGAAAGGTGGAAGCTGGAATTAAAAGGTACTTCAGTGGCTTCTGGATTTATAAAAAAACCAACCAACAAAAAAATTTAATAAATCCTGCAACTCTTTTTAAAAATCAAATTATTCCAGCTTTTTGACTTTGTCTTTTTTCCTATGTGTATATTAGAAATCTAAATTGAATACTGCTTTACTGGTACTTACAAGTAAATGCTGGATTCATTGCCCCCGATATCAGGTGACTGAAGCTTCTGCACAAGTATCACAATTATGCCAATAAAAAGCACAAAGTTTATCTGGGGGAAAAAAGAAAAAAAAATATGACAATGATATATTTTTTCCAAGTATGAGAGTAAGACATTTCCAGTGACTTGCTGGCTCCACTGTCTTGTCCTTCTCCAAGCTGTAGTTTAGAAGTTTTATAGGGTCAGGTGTAATGGGATAAATTTATAAGCATCTTATTTCCCCTTTTCCAGGCAAAAATATCCCCCTTGCAGCAGCTAAAGTAAGGCAGAATTTCTTCAGTCCCAAGCACCAGATAAAACAGCCATAAGCAAAAGGTTTTCAATGTTTTTGATTATCAGTAAGAGCAAAGAATAAAAAGAAAGATCCCTACACATCAAATCCATATAGCAACAATCTCAACAGTCTCATCTTTATCTCACATTCACCGAACTAAGGCATTTGTCAGTTTAACAGTATCATTCAGTCCAAATTTAGTATCTCCCCTTTCCTGGAAGTCCCAAGTTGTGTCACTTTCCCTCTGCTGGGCTGAATCTGCCCCAAGATGATGTTTCTGGGAGGGGAGGAATGCATGTGTTGATGTGCCTAACTTTCTTCTTCATGCCTTTTAGTTTCATGTCAACCTGGGCATCTTCTCTTTTATAGAATCATTACAGGTATAATTTTAAAAAATCAGATATTAATAAAATCAGTTTATTTCAGTGCTTTGGCTTCAGATTAATACCAAGAGAAAAGAATGGGAAATTTGAGTTGGTCTCTTATACAAACGGTAACTCCTGTAAGGATACCAAGAACTTGAACTAGACGTGAGAATTTCTTTCAGAAGTATTTTCTGTCTGATCTGACTACAAATGAATGGAAAAACCCAGTTGTCATTGGCTGGTTGTTTGAATCTATAACACCCTTAATAGAGGCCAAGTATAACAAATTCCTCAAAGCTAGAATGTGATCCTTAATTGAACATGTCTGTAAAGTATGGAAATTCACATACACTTATATCACAAAAAAAACAGACCAGTGGAACCTCTCCGTCTCAATACCCTTCAGTGTTATAGCTGAATTACCTTTAATGTGACTGAAGGTTACTGGACTTTAGATATCTGTGCAAATACTTAAGAGGAGAAGCACCAAACCTGATGAAAACACCTACATGTAGATAACTACCTGTGAGCTGCATGTCTAAATTTTCACAACAGTTACTGAAGACCTGGCCAATTCTGTCATCAGAGTATGGAGAGCAACTTAGCACGCCCAGAATTAAACACGTATATGTGGTAAGCCAAACAGCTTTTCAAGTGCTACTAAACACACTGTCTAAGGGTTCAGCTTGATTTCCTAACTGGAGGAGCCCAACACCATTTAAAAATAGCCATATTCTTTAGGGGCAGCAGCTGGACACTAAACAGGGCAATTTAGAATCTTTCAGTTGTCCATAAAAAATTATCTAGGACCACTTGAGTCAGATCCAAGTCCTCCATCAACTAAAGAGAGCTTAGATACCTTAGTGACAACTGTACATTTTGTGTTCTGTCCACAATACTATTCCAAAGTTAATAGTAGATAAATAAATGCAGCTGTAAAATGAATTCTTTTCAACAGACACAGTCCAGTTTCCTAGTCACTGGTATCTTGTATTGTTCTAAATGCCCTGTGATGTCCCACCTGGGCTTCAGCTGCCACTCCCAGCAGTGCAGGATCCCCATACATCCTATGTCATATCTACCAGCCCCAGGCGAATGCTCCATATGATCTAGGCTCTTACTTATAGGATTTGGTGTCTATGTTTAAGACACTGAATAACTCAATATCTATGTAGTCTTCTTGCAGACTAACTTTCACTTAACTTTTATTAAAGCTTCTTTATAACAATGGAATTACTTAGCATTGTGGATGGCAAATGGTGGGTATTCAGACAAGGTCTCCAGTAGTCCAACAGAGAAGAGGCAGCATTGTTTGTAAAGCCACCTGAAGCTATTTGCATCACTTATTTGCCCTCAGAATTGTTGAGGAAGCGCCACCTCCAACTTACCATGATCGATCCAACCACAGGACCCTTGATCACCCACCACAAGGCAGTGTTGTCATTCATGTCCCAGCAGCTGAAGCCATTAATGAAAGAATGGTGTGGGGAAAGAATGAAAGGGAAGGAAAGAGAAAGAGATAGATAAAGATATAATAAGGAAGTTAATAAACTTACAACAATTTTTAAGGGAGCAGGGAGTGGGAGATTGGTCTTGTAGCTGAATTATTTTATTTCATAGAATCATAGAATGGTTAGGGTTGGAAGGGACCTTAAAGATCATCTAGTTCCAACTCCCCTGCCATGGGCAGGGACACCTTCCACTAGACCAGGTTGCTCAAAGCCACATCCAGCCTGGCCTTGAAGACAGTCAGGGATGGGGCATCCACAGCTTCTCTGGGCAACCTGTTCCAGTGCCTCACCACCCTCTCTGTGAAGAGTATCTTCCCGATATCTAATCTAAACCTCCCTGTTTTCAAAGGTTCAAAGGTTTGTGTTCAAAGGTATTAAGTGCTTTAGTCTGTTCATGTTGTAGTGTTCTTTTCCAGCCTTTACCCAGCTTATCAGAGAGTAAAATAAGTATTTTTGTGACAATTTCAATGGTAATGCTTACTAAAGAGTTCAGCCATTCTGGAGAATGCCTCTATACATATTTCTGTGTCTACAGACAGTACAACAATAAAATTGTCCCTTTAAGGTAACATCTCAGTAGAAGGGGGAAAAAAATGGATACCTTGGAGTGTAACAGCTGGTTATTTGAAAGTTTGATGACTCAGTTACTTTTCCAGGGTAAACAGATATGAATATTGGTTCCTGATCCTGGCATGAGGATTCTTACACATACCTATTACACAAGGATGTCTTAAGAGACTGGCTGTGTTCACATATAAGAATGATTTTCCACTCACTGGGTTGCAAGTCCTACCAAGGAGCAGAAATTCATCTAAGAAGGTTCACACACTAGACTGTTGGGGTCAGCTCCTTTTTTAAGGTGTGAGGAGTGGGTGATTATACATAAAATGACATTTTTACCTCAGCATTTGAAAACTTCCTCCAGATTCACTAAAGGATTCTAATGAAATTTATTTCATGTACATTCATTTGGACATTCATTTGTAGAGGAAGCTAATTACAGTACCCATCTACATATGGGGTTTTAACTTTAACATATATTTTTAAAGCTAGAAAAACAACAATAATGAAAAAAACCATTATTTCCAATGACAATCCACCCCTGCTACGCTATTTTACATCATTAAGAATGTGATTGTCAGTTAAAAAATGTCTTTTATTTATCTCCACTTACTTCCCCTTGTTCCCTCTGGAAAACATAAAATCTCAGTAAAATGTCTACTTTGTACCTGCAGTTCTGAGAAGGAAGCTTTCCCTCCTACTGGGAAAACAGCCAGAAGTCCCAGAAGTGGTTGTCATGGTGCATTTGTCAGATGCCAAGAAACAATTTGAAAGAGCGTACAGGAATAAACAACTGATGATCTTATGAGAGCTTAATGCAACTTCTGTGTCATTTAAATGGTAGTCTGGTGGCATCTTGGGGAAAAGGGAAGATCTTTAACAAAAGTATGTACATGTGTAAGTGTGGGAGTCAGAGCTAAAATTCCACCATCGAAGTGCATATGAGAGAAATCCCAAGCAGCTGAGTGATGTTTGGATTAGAAATTTCAGTTGAATTTATATTTCGGTTGAACCATATTGGATTCCCATAAAATCAACAATAAGGGTGTGTGTGGTTCAGCTGGTGAGAAGAGAGAAAATCTGGAGCTGGGATGTCAAACTTGCACAAAATTACATATTTTTGCTTCTGTCTACAAAGCCTAGAAAGTTAAAAACGCCCAAAATCTATGGGACTGATGTCTGAGATTTTCAAATGCAAAGTAACACTTCTGAGTTATCTTGCTTTGGATGTCCAACTTAAAATATCTGAAAAGGGATAAAGTTCAGAAGGAATCCCTTCACAGCCATAGTTTCGAAATCAGGCTTTTTTTCAGCTATCAGCAATTGTGTGTCACACAAAAAACCCCACCTAAATCACCAATTATATTTAAAATTCTTTCTATGCATTTATAAATTAGGTGCTGCCTTCTGAAAATTACACACTATTTGCAGAGATCAACTTATATAAGATGCACATTAAATCTACCTTGGAGGTTTTCACTGAGTTGGCCAATGCTGGAAGAATCTGGACAAATACCAGTATTAATCTGGCTGTATAAATAGGCATTGATGTATGGCAATTTCTCTATGTAGAAATGAGAAATTACAGGAATTGGAATCTACCTGCTCTAGTTCCAGTCACCTATACTGAAGACAACTATAACAATTAATTATCCTGGACTGTGTCTGGGACAAAGACATTTGGAGGTTGGTTTTGGTTTTTTTTCCCCGCACTGATGCATATTGTGGGGTGATAACCTCATCCCCTACAAATGCCTATTCTTTGACAGTCCTCTCCTTTTACAGGCTGTGTCCTCAGTTAAGCTCAGTTTCCACTGTCTACCTTGTAGAGGTCAACAATGAATCAGACTAAGCTCACACAATGGTTTTTTTTTTCAAGAACTTTTTTGGTCCCATTACTGTTTCATCTACAGGATGGATGTAGTGGAAGAAACACCATCTTCTCCTCAGATGGACATGACCAGAAGGAGAAAACAGCAGTACACAACAGGAGAGTCTAGTATCAGCCGACAAGGTGTACTACGTAAACAGTCTCCTTAATTTCTCTCAAATGCATTGCTACAGTGGAGGTCAGACACACAGGACTTCCTCATGGTGGATGAAGGGAAGGGAGCCAGTGGGCTTGTGGAAGGATGTGATTTCCATTTCAACAGGGCAGAGTCTGATCTCTGCTACATCTCTGGTGTACATCTGGAATAACTCCATTTAATCCAGCAGCACAGCTCTGGATAAACAGACAGTTGCATTTATCTCCACAAACCTGTCATTTACAGGGATGCAAATCAGGAGCTGAAGTCAAGGGAGCTCTGCCAGTTTTATAAGGAGCAAGCAGGAGGAGACTCAGTCTCAGAGTCTGTATTTCAGTCCATGCCTTTGCAACCGTCGTTTCCCAGTTCAGTAATTTCTGCAATGTTTTCAGGCTCATGCTGGCTTCTCTCCCCCACCCCCAGAACAATGCTTTGCTGATTTTTAAAAAGGAACCACTGAGAAGCTCAGCTAGAATCTGTCTAACTGTGTTGCATGCTAAATAGCTTCTCTGACTAAATGAAAGGCAAAGGTTTTGGGTTTTTGTTTTTTTTTTTCCCTTCTTTTTTCCTTCTGCAAGACATTCCCCCTACCCACAAAATGCAAGGACTGTTTGGACTCCTAAGAGAAATTAATGCTTTTAGGACCAGTGTTGTAATCATAATAATGACACAACAGGGGTTTCTGGCTTGTTTTGCATGGAAATAAATGATTTAATTTGTCTTAATGTCAAAATAGAACATTGGGTCAAAGCACTGGCATACCCAGTGGAGGAAGGGCTTTATGTGCTTTCCAAAAAGAGCATGAAAGAAGAAGGATGAAGTAAACCTGATAGAACAGTGAGTCTTGTGCAAATTTTGGATCCAGGTATCTCTAGTATAAGGCAAAATCTATTTTGAGATAGAAAGTTTATTCCTTCTCTTATTCCCAGCATTTTTCTAACACTTCCTCAACTTCAAACATAGCTTCCATGAAAAACATCGCTAAGTTTGCATTTTCAGGGTGTACATACATGTCCATTCTTACCAGCTATGTCTGATGCACTATGAGACCAGACAATCTACTAAGTACCGAGATGTACAGGACCATCTCTAGGAGAAGCCTTTCCTTCTGATCCTTTAGAAAAAGATACAAGATATTTGCAGGATTTTTTTCCTACTGAAATAAACCTTTTGGACAGAATCTACCCTTTTGAATTATTTCTGAAATTATTCCATTTCCTCTATTTTTTTTTATTCCACACAGAAGATAGGATGTGGATTTCTGTCTCACCCCTAATCATCTCTCCTACTAGATTTGTGGAAAAAAATCTCCAAGGGGAAGCTAAACTCCTAATTGCCTTTATAAATCAAAGCTCAGAAATGCCTTGTGCAGATTTCACTCATCACATCAGAGGTATCTGCAAAAATTTCTACAGCTGACCTCATCACCTCCGTCTTCCTTCATAATCATTTGGAGATTCATTTGACAGCTCTTTTAAGATGAGATAAAACATATCCTGTACTCCACTAATTTAACTGAGCAGGGAACAAAGGGCCACTGGCTCACAGCTTCATGTTTACAGGGTGGATGCCTACATCTTCTTTTATGGTTTCACCAGCTCAATAAGGACATAAACATCAAACTATGGCTATTTATGCAGCTGAACAGGAAAGCACCCCATGTTGAACACCGGACCTAAACTACTTGCACGCACTAATCAATGTCAGAAATGGAATATTTCTGTTTCATCCTTGTCATCGTGCTGAATGCACATGAAATGATTTCCCATGCAGCAATACCTACCCGGTATCATCAAAGTGAAGTCTCAACACTGCCCAGACAGTGACACAAATTGTTGGGGTTCCTGCCGAAGATAAGATGGTGATAACATTACCAGTTTGGACACATTTAGTACTCAACAATGAGCACTTTTTGCAACCTCTCCACTGAGGTTTTATTTCCTGATGGTACTCATGCACAAAACATTGCAATTCATTACATTAATTCAGAGCTTCAGAAACATCTGTCTCAGAGGATAGGTTATTCTTGCTGGGATTGCAGAAGCAAAGCTGGTAACAGGAAAGAATTATGTTGTTTCATGTCCTTGTTTCTCAATGTTGTTGTACTTCATCTTGTTGCATTAACAGTAAAACAGTCCGTGCAAAATAAAAGCAGCAACATCAGCCTCCGTGTCTAGAGCTACTGTAATTATTAAATAATTGTAGAGTGGCAGATGTTATGCTGTAATGGCATTATTATATTCTGTGTATTCTTATGTGGTTTCGTTGTATATTATTTACATATACTGCATTTTCTCTGTTATTGTGTAAATAAATGATTTTGGTTTACTTACTGAACCAAAACAAATCAGTACAGGACAGTTTTCCCTTACTCACAGGAATGTGTCGGTTTCTTCATGGAAAAAACCCCAACCATAACAAATGCCCAAAAGAGAATATTGGGAGTAAGAATTTAATTTGTGCCTCAGACATTTCTTTACTCTTAAAAACGTGCATGTAAAATACAAATTAAATCAAAACAGTAAGAATACACTGAGAAACCTAGATTTATTTTCCTTTCTGAAAACATTAAAGGGTAGTTTTCCAGTAGAAATATTTTTATAAAATAATGCAGTCTTGCAAGAAAACTCTGGGTAAGTTGGATCTACTTTTTGTGGCAAATAAAATCTTTGACTATGAAACTGCCTACAACTATTCAGACAGCACTGGAAAGATAAAGTGCTAAAAAGCAAACAATACATGGACCTTGATAACCCCAGCTTGCAGTGGTGAACGAGGCTGTCAGAAGTTGACAAGAACAATTATGTTTCATACATTTTGCAAGGCTGTGTTGTAATGTAATGTCACATTAATTAGTCATCTGACTGAATCTGCTTAAGTGAGTCTCTGTCACATCTCATATTCCTGCTATCAGAAATAAAAATATCCCTATTAGACCTAGATGACTGATGAATCTCTCCTCCTTTACAAAAGCACACAAAGAAATATTTGAAAGGAAAATTATAAAAAGAAATAAAATGACAGGCTTTGGGGAGAAGAAGTCATACATATTTAATTTAAACTGAAGTCTGCTTTTCTCACATGAGAATACCTGGAAAACATTAAGATCTTTGTGCATTTAACAGATGCACAATAGTAAAAATAATCTTTAAATTTCAATCATGGGGCTGACATGGCATCTAGTTTGCATCAATTTGCATTCTGTAAATTTTGATGGTATGAATAGTGTTCCAAGTCTGAAACATGGGCAGGAAGGCAAAATTAGACTAAATGTGTCATAAAAATATAATTCCAAATGCATGTTTCACATCAGCTTGGAGGTTTGAACCATCTGCTATATGAATATATATATACTCACGTTGCTTTTCTTTACATCAAAAGATATATATGTCCTCACCACCTTCTTTTCAGCTTCTGAGTAACATTAGAAAACAGACAAGCCCCGAAGGCTGAGAAGAAAGCTATTCTTGCTGACTGTATTTCTTCCCTGAGTAAGGAGCAGGCATTAGGAGAGATCTCAGGAAGACAGCAGTCTATCTGGAGACCCTACCAGCAGATTGCATATTTAGGAGGAAAAAATTGTCTGGATTGACACAGCCATATGTAGTTCTCATTAATCAAATGAAGACAGTGATGTGCTCAGCACATTTTGAGAAACAGATAAATATCCCAGTGCTGTAAAATGCTGAGCTCTTGCTTATTGCTGCTTCAATGCAACTCCCTCCCCATCAGCTCTGAGTGGAGGGGCTGCTTTTGCCCTACATGACTTGTATCCAGAGTCCGGGAGTGTTTCTGTCCGTGCCAATTGCTTTTACCAAGTCAGGGGAACTGCTATTCAAGTTGAAATATGCAGGAGTTGAGAAAATACTGTATTTAACAAAAACAAACCAAAACCATCCACATTTGGAGATTCTCTTAGTGTTATTAATGGTTATTACTGATATTGCATGAATATGAAGTGATATCTATAAACTGAACAGCTAGATATTTTTTATGGTATTCAACTCAAGACCAAATATTTTGAGGTGGCATTTCAGAATGAATCCACCTGGGTAGTTCTTTCATTATAAAGATGGATTAAAAAAAAATAATAAAAAAAAAACCTCTGATTTATGTTTGGATTGCAAAGATTTACACATGGTTTTGTTTTGTAATTGTCACATGACCATGTACATAACCCACAAGTTCTCTTTGAAAACAGCCTTATCTCTCAGCTATAATGTGATTACACATCTGTGGATAGTACAAAGGGAAATTTGAACATCCTTTTCCAATAATTTATTTTCCAATAGTCATTTCTAATAGCCTTTATATGCCATAGCTTATTTCTGATCACCTTTCTTCTCCACATCTTTGCTCCTATTGTAGGGAGTCTTTGCCAGGAGATGGGAATTTTTGTATATATACAGCTGCCTCAGGAATGACAAAACAAAAGCAGCTGTAGATTACTTGAAGGAACAGGTTACATGATGCTGGGTTTTTGTCAAAGGCCAATAATTTAAGGTATGTGATTTGCCTGTAGGCTTTACACATAAATATACAGGATGCTTTCCAGATTATTTCAGAAGTATGTTTGGTTAAGTGTAAAATTTGAGCTTAACCTTCTTAAGGTACATTTAAAATGAATGGGTTCTGCAATCACCATCTGACTTCTGCACAAAAATGTCAGCAAAGAACTGTTTGAATTAATGCGTTGCAGGAATCAATTTATTCCTAGAAGGCCAGAATGAAAAATAATCACACTGTTACAACTGGCCTTTCTGAAACAAATCTTGTTTCTTCCCATTGAAAGTTTCCATTTCCCATTAAGGTAGGGTGAGCATATTTGAATACCCTTTGGATACATTTTCAATTTAGCTATTATCTGGAAGAAAGACATAAATTAAGTCTTAAAAAATGGACTAGACTTAGCACTGCAGATTTGATTAAGCTGAAGAATTTGGCATTAAAATCATATCTTGCAAAAGGCAATTTTCAGTTGTGGACTACATCTCTGAAAGAGATGCAGCGTCCCCCAGATTCCAGTTCAATTCTATTCAGAGAAAAAAGCACAACATAGTTCTATCTGCAGTAGTACTTCTATACAAAGACTAAAACTACACTTTGAAAACGTATGTCTAAATATTAGATGGTCCATGGAGTCGTCTTGCACAGTGAGACACATTTTAGACAAGAAATGTCACTTACCCCAACCAATAATAGTGTACCAGTAGAAATATCTCCTCTCTGGGAAAAAGGTTTCTACCAATAAAGTGAAAAGGTACAATCCCTCGATGAAAAGCCAGAAGTAGTTAGACATGACACAGTAGTGAAAAAACACCATCACAGCTTTGCATTCCACCTGCAGAGAATCAAGAAAAACAAAGTTATTTTCATGTTGTTTCCACCTAACACATAGAGAAAATGCTTTCAACCTCTCCAAATCTCTTAGTGGAAAGAACACAGCTGGGACTGGTATTATACACTTTTAATAGTAAAGTTTTAAAAGCATGAGAATAATGTGAGGTGTCACTTAGAGACCAAAGCTTGAAAGGGCAGGTAGCCAATTTTACCAGTGGGAGGTGGTCGATGAATATCTGCAGACAGCTTGAGAATGTCTTATATTAGTGGGAGTGCACATCGTCAATAGATGTTAATTGCTAGATTTAAGCCCCCTTCCAAGGACTAAGTGCAGAGAAGAAAAGAATCCAGTTGTGTATTGAGAAACCTAAGGAAGGATGTGAAAAGGCAGGATGATTGTGGAAAGCCCTGAGAGTGGGATCAAAAAGGATGCACCCTCCTGTGTGCAGCTGAGAATCGTGCCTCATTGCCATTTGCGGGTGTTGTCACTCAGGGACATAATATAAAAAGTAAGCATAAGTGTAAAGAAAGCAGAGTGACTGTAAAAATCAGCAGCAGCTTTCATTCATGTACTGGAGTGAAAAGCAGTGGACAAAAGAAAAAAAAGTAAAAGAAGGAACTGGAGTTGTTTAGTCTGGAGGAAAAGAGGCTCAAGGGAGACCTTATCGCTCTTTCCAACTACCTGAAAGGAGGGTGTAGCAAAGTAGGGGTCTGTCTCTTCTCCCAAGCAACAAGCAATGGGACAAGAGAAAACAGCCTCAAGTTGTGCCATGGGAGGTGTAGACTGGCTATTAGGAAAAAATTCTTCACCAAAAGGATTATCAAGCATTGGAACAGACTTCCCAGTGGAATAGTTGAGTCATCATCCCAGGAGATGGAGCTTAGGGACATGGTTTAGTGGTAGACTTGGCAATGTTAGGTTTATGGTTGGACTCTATGATTGTAAAGACCTTTTCCAATCTAAGTGATTCTGTGATTCTATGTTTCTGTGATAAAAGTCTTAGGTGGACTTTGGGAGAGTAGGAAACCCTTGTCTTTCCAGTGTTGCATCCCAGTGAGACATCACTGCTCACACAAAAGTAGGACATTTCAACAAATCAGAGCAGAATCAGTGTATAAACTGGAGCTGCTGAGGGAGCTGACAATTTTCACTGGTTCCCACCCACACTTCATATTCTGGGACAAATCTACAACCAATACGTTGAAACTATCAGATCCTGAGTTTTGTCATGGAAGCTCTACCAGGGCTGAAGATCTCATCATTAAATGACTGATTTTAACATGTTTAATGCTTCCTGAAGATCTCATCATTAAATGACTTATTTTAACATGTTTAATGCTTCAAGTGTTTCAAAACAAAGAGGCAGTGCCACTGATAGAAGAGTGGTGTGAATAAACTACAGATCTAACAAGGCTCCACATTTTTCAAGGAGAAGAATTAAAAGCAAAAACTAGTTTCAATGACAAAGAAAAGGCTGACTAATTAACCACACCTGCACTTTCCCTGTGGAAGTGACTCATTGGGAATTTAGCTCATAACTGGATGGATAAAGGAGATCTCAGTTTAGGAACTCACTGTAATTCCATCATAATTACACCTGGTGAGCTGATGTATCAAAACAAATACTAGTCTATAATGTGAAAGGAATTGGGATTTTCATGTAATATATGGCTAGGTGTGTCTGCGAAAGAGACTGCTTTCCATGACACCACACACTTCAGGGACAAACATGTGGCTAATACTTAGGATTTTTTGAGACTGTGACCATCAGGGGTACTTTCTATGTCTGAACGATCACCCTCTTCACACATGGTTCTGTCTGATATCAAGAACAAATTAGACTTTGGAGAAAAAACAGACCTTCAGATGAAGGAAATTGCTTGTGTCTGCTCTCATCTCACCTATCACTATGTGGATCTGTGAAAGGGAGAAACAACCTGCATAGAATCAGAAACCAAAACCTGTAGGTTAGTCCTGAAGGACTGATTGCTGGACACTGATCACATCATGAGACAATACCATCTGCAGGTTTTCTGTGAAGCAAGAGGGGAGTTTACCACCAATTACCTTCTCTCCGAATAGCTTCTCAGCCTACGATAATCAACAAATTGTTGCCTGCCTTGCTATTTTTCATTATCTCATGTTGAAAAAAATAAAGGAAAAGACTGGTTTTGGTTTTACTTACCGTTGAGATAAAACAGTGGTTGCCATCCTGTTCAGCATAAAGAACCCCGTCTTTAATGAATACAGATATTGCACGTAGGATGAATGAAACAAAGAGGTTCATGTGGATAAAATTTCGAGTGCAGTGAAGCTTCCTAGAGAGGAAAGAGCAAGGGAGAGGAAAAGAAGGAAAAAATAGAAAAAAAAATACTTTTCATGAAAATAGCCCATGTGGACTATTGGAACACATGGCCAGCACCTTGGTGATAAGAATAGCACCATCTCAAAGTCAAGAGTGTGGATAAAACTGACCCCAAACCTAACTAAGAGGAGGATTTGGGGATTTTCTTGTAAAAGTATGCCAGGTAGCATAAAATAGACCAGTTAAACACAGCTACTGCTGTTGCATAAGTTAGACTCAGCTTCTGCTGTTGCATCTACAGTCTACCAAAGCGTGACTACAGGATTGTGTCCGTGCTGGGGGAACAGCTCTGTTAAGGGACTGTGTCCCTTTTATTCTATATCTGGTGAAATACAAGCTTAAACATTGTTTTGGGACAATGAGTTCCATCCTCTTTCCTCCAGTGACTGAACAGCTCACTGATCATATCCTGACTCACCTGAAACGACACAGGATAACCATGGCAGTGGTGAGGGAAACAAGAGAAGTGCTGTATCCCACTGTGTACAAAGCCTTCACAGATAGATAGTAGTAATCCTTGGGAGGCAAGAACAGATGATTAAATAGTTCATCTACCCATCACATCTTCTTTACCCTGTCAACATGCAGGGGGAACCATAGGTGGGATCTGCTTCTTGAGGAGCCTGGTTGTTTTCCTCTCTTGGTTCCCCTGCGATCTCACTGTATATTAGAGCATTGCTCTATGTCTGGTGTACTCTTGGGTCTGCATACTGTGAAGCTCATTTGCCAGTAAGCTAGCAAAGGTTGTCTGCATTTCTTTGACCACTGTGCATCTATCTGTAGAAAAAAAGTAAATGGCTAAGGGATTCTTTAGTCAATAAGAGAAAAACTGGGGGCTAAACCAGACTTCTAGAAATCACAAGCTGTATCAAAACCAAACATTCATATTCTGGAAATATTCACTGAAGGGCTAGGAAAGATGTAAATCTTGCTTCTCACATTTTTATGTCCATAAATATCTGATTGTTTCAATCTAATCACCCTCAAATCAGAACATGACCAGAGGCTGGACAAAAAGCAAACTGCTGCTCCCTGCCTTCATTTGTTTTTAATTATAAGATTAATTCCCACCTGGTTATCAGACTCTGTTTCATTTTCATCAAAGCCGCAGGCATCATAATAATGAGGAAAAGGTTCAGACCAGCCATCTTCAGTGCAATTTCTGCTGATGTCCCCTGTGTCAAGTACAGTTGGGAATGTGACATTGTTGAAGTAAATACCAGGACATAGCCTCCCTCCCCTTGGTAGATGACCAAAAAAAACCTCACAGTACCACTGGAGGTACTATTTATCTGGATATCCATAGAAGACTTTAATGGCATCTTGAAAGTTTAATGACGTCTTTAATGACCCAGTTCTACAACAGTCAGCTATGGATGTCTACTGCTACATCTGGTCACCAGAGAGCTAAGTATTTAACCAGTATAGTCATTGCTTCCAGGCCACTGATGATCTCATTCTTGAGTGGATACCAGAACCAGGGGTCAGCTAAATGGCCGTTTCTCAACATTGACTATGAACGGCATCTAAGGAATACAGCTTCGATGTAGACATCTACACTTCAGATGGCTAAAGGTTAAGTCCAGCACTTAAATATAGGTAGGCACTTTGTGCTATTTAAGATAATAAATGTAGATAAACAGATATATCTGAAACATCTGCATGGGACTGGAAAGGAAACACAAGACTAACATTGTTATTTGGAGCAGCTGCTGCAAGCCAGGCAGGATACAGTAGGATATATAAAATAGCCATTAGATGACTATGGTGAAGCAGCTGGATCATTTTCCTACAGTCAGATAACCTGTATCCCACTCATTTATCTTCAAGCCTAAGCTCTGATCTGAGAGTGACTTTGTGAGAGGGTCTGCAGGAAAACAAATGAAAGATGGAGTGAGAATCTCTTCCCCATCTCTCTCTTCACAGCAATAAATTCATTTACATCTCTAGATGCCCAGTGTGGCTTCAGTTGACAATTTCAGACATGTTTAAGAATTTCACATTCTTCTGTTTATTATTTGTTCCAATCTCAGTTTATAACCTTACTCTAAAGCAAGTGTTTGCAAGGATGCTCACAATTGACTCAGAGAAAACGTCATTCTCTTTGTCTTTCCTTTTATCCTAATTGTTTGGCAAATCTCATATAAAGATTACCTCCTAAATGGCTTCCACTGACACAGACAAAAGGCTCAAAACTGTATGGAGAAGCAGGAGCTGGGGGTAGAAGAGGAAAGTGTCTCTTGACACTCACTTTGTTACTGAGGCTGCCTAAGGTGGGATGACTCCCGTGGTGCTCTGTTTAAGCGCCACTGCTTTTGCCAGAGCTCAGTGACCTGTTTGTAACATTAGAGCTGGGTTGCTGGCAGCACTTATTCCTCTCCAGCACAATAGAACAGTTTCCATTTATCAAACTATTACAGTTTTTGGAGTTTGAGCTGTACCTCGACCAAAACTGATGGAAATTTCCAAGGTTGCGGGTTTTTTTGTTTGTTTGTTTAGTAAGGTTGTGCTGCTCCGCATTCTTAGAGCAGTTCAGTCAAGTAGTTCATAATACTAACAAGTGACCTTATTTTTTGAGAATCTGTTTGCCATCCATGCAGCGGAATATATCTATTTAATCACAGCATTCATTTAAGAACATCACATTGCTTGGCAAATTTTGGTAAATTACTCTTGCACATTCATCCGTAGTTTTCTATGGAAAATAACCTCTGAATCATGGTGTTGACTTTCCTTAACACCATTTAGTAATTACTGTTAAGTAGGCAGGTATAATTTATAGCAACATACTTGCCAGATTGCAAGGCTTAATAGTGGAGGAATAAATTTTCATAATACTGCTAAAAGTAACGCACCAGAAAATGTGTCACCATAATTAGAAATGATTAGAAAATCATACCTAAATGGCAGGAGACAAAACTTGGACCTTCCTTTTTAAGAAAGTTAAAATAAAAGGAGAAACATTCCATGATTCTGCTTCTTACCTAGGGGAGACTGGGCTGTGCTTTCCAGCAGGTCATAATCACCTATAAAAGTGGAAATTTGGTATGAAATTCTTTTGATTGTGTTTTCTATTAGGACCCAAACTGGTCTGTGTGGAAATCAGTGAATAGAACACATTTGTGTGAATAAGGCCCAAAAGCAATAAATACTTGATTCTGTCTTTTCAGGAAGTGAGCACAGTTTTACTTATGAGTTTAAATCAAAGCTGAAAGTATACAATTAAAAATTGCTACTGCAAGCAGTGAGCATATAGCTAAAACCACATACAATCAAACTAGGACCAAATTATTGTAAAAATATAAAAGGCAGATATTGTCGCTTTAGAAATTTAAATTTATAATCCATAGACATTTAAATATGGTCAGTTTTTGCAGAATTAATGAAAAATGGTTTCTATCCATCAATGACAAAAAGCAAGATGTATTTGGTTTTAAGTAAGAAAGTTTAATTTTGTGGGTTTAGCTTAAATACACTGATTTCGAGAAACTTGTCAGATTTTTACTTCCATTTTTTGTCAGTGTTAGGATGAACTACAGTCATTATCATAACGGTTGATACACAATATCAGATTATTGAAAAGTTTTTTATCATGTGCTCTACATACAATTTTTGAGAACAGAAATACATAGGAGGTAGTGAACACAACTGGTTCTTACCTGCATGGGTTTGCCCCAGGTTATCAACTTCCCAACCTGAAATTAGAAGAATAAAAATAATTAATTTGATCTTGGTAATAGTTTCCTTCCCAAAAGAGGAGTGGATATAGCAGACCCTAGAGAAAAACTACAAGAAACTTTGGTTTATCTACTTTTATTCAAGATCAGTACTTTGTTACTGTATATTTATGACTGGAAAGTGTCTTTCAGAAAAGAGCCCATTGCATTGCATTGCATTGCATCGTTAAATTTGTGGAGTTTGTCATGGAGTTTCATCAAACTCTAGGAAGAATATGAAAAAGAGATTAGAAAATGTTTTTGTGTTTGGTTGGGGTTTTTTTGTTTGTTTGTTGGTTGGTGTTTTGTTTTGGGTTTTTTTTTTTTTTTTAGAAGGGGTGAAGGTTGTGAAATAAGAAATACCAACACATTTCCAAAATATTGTGCTAAAATCCATGGTGATTTGTATTACAAATTTTAAAGTATTACAATGGAAAAATTTGCATTTGCATTAAAAAAATTGATTTTTTCTTTCTTTTGTCCTTCAAAATAAATTGTTGGAATTGTCTCAAACCAGTCTCCCACCCACCCTACTAAATATTTCACCCGAATTGCACTGAGGTCAGGCTGAATCCTCATTGGACTGGGGCTCAAGCTCGGTGTTGGGGGATGAATAAAGAGGAGCTGCCTTAAGCCACCGAGTGGTGCTGGTGCATCGTGCACGTACCCAGCGAAGCCTGACAAAGCTGCCTGCAAACAGCTCTGCCAGTGACCCAGCGACCAGTGAGTGACAAAATATTTCCAACATTTCACTGACTGCAAGGGCAGGTTAAATGTTTAGATTAGCTTAGGTCTGCATCCCCTGGAGTAACCACAAGGCTTTAGGTTATTCTCTTTAACCCTGAACATATGGTGAAATCTTAACACGGGATTAGAAAAGTCATTTACCAATTGTATGAGAAAGGTTTTCTTAAAAATAAATTTTTTAAAGAAATTGATTTTGAGCTGATGGGAACAGAGAAAGACAGCATCTAAAGAACCAAAATATTAAAGGGAGTCTTTTCAGTACAGTATATAATGCATTTTATATTTTATATTTAAGTATTTGTCTTTTTATACTTTTTCACACTCCTTAATAATTTCAAATTCACTGATTTCTCTCTGTCCTCTAAAATAAATCAGATGTGCTTCTTGATTTTCTAAGACAGAAAACAGAGGATTTAGTGTGAAGATGATGGTAAGAGTCAAACACAGCTGAAACTTTTGACAAAAGTCTAGGTAGGCTGTAGTATGTCTTTGAATGAATGTATTCATCACCAAACCTAAGCTTACAACCTGCTGGTAACTCTGGACTCTGGAGCCATTCCTGAAAGCCACAATAAGAACGTTGTTTGTCTCCTGGCTTCTCTGTCCAACTCCAACTGCTTTAAAGATTTCACATAGGAGATTTCTTGGATGTTTGTAAATATTGGGTAGATCTACTAAATCTGAGGAGAAGTCACCAATGCTCTGACCAAATGTTTTTCAGCGAAGATCATTCAACCTGCTGCATCAGACCAAATTACCAGATGCTGCAGAGATGTGCTAAGGCTGTGCTCTGGATTCTTGGCACAATAACAGGGATGCCACTGCAGAATATATTGTACAGGCCCGTTTGCCTCCTGAGCCTAGCAAACCACAGGTTTATTAACAGTGATATATCTCAGATATAGATGACTGTTGCTAAAATCAGAATACCAACTTTAGGATATTGTGTGTGAATTTTTACCTGTGTTTTTGTTAGCCAGAGGATCAAAGAGCAAGCCACTGTTCCTTGACCAGTGTCTTTCAGACCCTGCTTCTATGACAGAAACCCACAGAAGCATGGTAAGCAAAATCTGCAAAAAACTTCCAGAAACCATTTTGACTCATAGAAATCCAGTTTCAATTTTTCAGTTGTACAGTGTGGTTTAAATCCTGAAATCTGATATTACAGACTTTATAGAATTCCTGTTGGAGGAAGACCAAGTCAATATTCAGTAGATTGAAGCCTGATATTCCTGGCATGTTACATGGACTGATGAGAAAAATATCCTTTATGAAATGTGTTTTAAATTTGCTAATTAATTCCTATAGGAAAAAACCCCATCACATTATTTCACGCAAAGTATGGGTGGTAGTTTGTCACTCTGATGTTAAAATATTAGATTTTAATTAATTTTGTATTTCATGACATCAATAATAACACTTAAAATATTATATTAATGCAGGTTTGTAAAATGAAGGGACTTTTAATATTAATAATTGTTTATATATACCTAAATTATTATTGCATTTTAACTGTGTTTGAACATTCTGAAGGGATCCACAGATTCTTATTGCTAAAGGAGAAAACTGCCCTTTTATTAACATATTTTTCTACATCTGAATCCTTCCTGAAGAAAGTTCCAGTATAACGTTTTACTATACAGGCTTTTAGGCTTGATTCATTAACTTAATTTTCACTAATAAGTTAAGCTACTGGAAAGTCAATTAGATTTACACTGAACACTGTGCCCTGAATTACAGCTAAAAGTCAAAGTTTGTCTAATGAATGTTTGGATAACATACAGACATATACAGTTATATTTGTGTGTGTATGCATATGTATACATGTTATATATGTAAGCACTAAAATGAGGGAACATACAACCACCATCTGGCTTCCTGTGTGCTGCTGCTGCCCTTCTCTCTGACTCCATATGTTTATGTATCCTGCACAACAATATGGATATTTACATGACAGATAACTGTGCCAATGGCTATGCTTACTCACGTCTATGAGAGTGTGATGGAGTTAATTTGGATTATTTCTGTGCTTAACATTTAATATATCTACATACATATGGACAAGGCCTGAGCATGCATTTGAGCTGGGGTTGTAAGAAGTCCAGACACAGGACAGTCCCTCTCATTTTTCAGAGTACTTCCCTGAAATTTTATGTTTCTGGATTTGGTTTTTTTCTTTTACACTTGAGTGCCTTTCTGACTCTAGACAGACCTCAGCAAATTTACTCTGATGTCAATGATGTAATGGACCAAAATTGCAGGGCATCTTGCTTCATGGGCTTTCACAGGAGTCTTCTCATTGCCTTACTCTTGGGACATAAACCACGGGAAGCTGGTGGTTTATGTCCTAAAAGTATTTTTAAATCAATAATTGCTCACATTAGTCAATAAACTCCTGAGGAAGCTAATGTTCTCCTTGACAAAGGATGGTTTGTCCTGTATATTGACAGGTAGCTTTATTCACAATTTGACCAGACTGAATAGGTAAGTGTTACTCCCTGGGAAGTAAAGCAAATCTGTCATGGGTGCTTTAACTGTCATTATTAATTAGATGTTATTTGCAGTACTACCTAGAGACCTTAGGAAAGATCTATTAGAATGCTGAATTTTTAATTCCAATGACTAGAATAATCACACACAGAACATAAAGCTTATTTCTATTTTTTACATTAAGAGGTGAAACAGGGAGAAAAAAAAGTCAAAGGATGTGCCAACATCTCTCCATAGAATTAGTGTCAGACACCTAGATCTTTCGTGCCCTTTTCTTGCACATGTATCAAGCTTTCTTTCTTGGTTTTCATTTGCTGAGTCCAAGAAAACATAACTACCTCCTCACTGTTCTCCAATGGATGAGAAATTTGAGCCAAGCAATTGTTGCTTCTAATTTACAATGAACAGGACTGGCAAAGTTAAAGCCAAGAAACAGCCTGTGTATGATGAGCCTCGGAACTCTGTGCAGCCTTTTAGATCAGCTCCTGTGTGCCAAATTTGTGCTGGCTGCTTTTGGTGTCAGCTAGCATGGCAACTGCCTTATCTCCTATAGATTTGTTTATCTGAGCACAACTTGCGTTTAACCCTTGTGTTCCAGCATTTGGCCTTTACTAGTGGCAGGAGGGGGAACTAAAGGCTTCCAAAACTATTCTGTCTTGAAATGGCTTGCCCAAAAATGTCCCTTATTCCTGTTGTTCCAATATCAGTATTATGGATTGGAGGACTGGTCCACATAGGTCATCCTCCAAAAGGTTGGATTTCGACAGCACTGAGATCAACATGCAAAGCTCGCACTGTTTTTACAGCACGTTAATTCTGCCCCTTCAGAAAGTGCACAGACTGGGGCAGAGAGATTATGGAAAACATTTCCTACAATCACTTGTTATTGTGCTGCCCAGTTATGTGGATAATGACCTGGTTAGGCAGGAATTTGATTTTTTTCCTGTTTTCTATAGCACCGATTAGAAGTTTAACATTTAATTTATCAATATGAAATAAATCAGCGAGCTCTCATGCCCGGCTCGAAAGCATGCACCACACTGTGCCTTTTCCCTCCCTTCCCTATTGCTGCACGCTGCTCTCATGCCCCAGCAATCTGTTCAGCCTGCTGCAGTTGGGAACAGCAGTCTACTTAGCAGCTTTTCTGGGGCTTTCTGAGCTCCCCGCACAGCTACCACTTGCACACTCTGCCCACTGCTTCTAATGCCCTCTGCCCAGTCCTCTACCTGGGCACACACAATCCCACAAGCACACTATCCAGCCATCCCAGTTCCTGCATTATGGCTTTGTTTTGGGGAGGAAAGTGATCCACAATCAGCTGCTAGGTCTTTACAATCTCATTAACAGGATCTGTAGAAAGCGGCAGCTAGTCAAGGGTACAGAATACATGGCCTTAGAGATTCCCACACATTTCCCTATGCAGAGTGCTTCCCTCCATTCTTTCCAGGGGTTTTGGTCTCTCCAGCCTCCTGACCCATAGACAGTAAACTAAAAATTGAAAGTCATTAGCTCACTTGGCATTTCCTGGATATATTGCCGTTAGCCTGGTCAAAGGAATTTGTGAACATAGTGGAGGCACTGACACAGAACAAAATTAAGTGGCATTGTTCACTGTATTTAGAAAACAGGAAAACTGAGGCAGAGAGGAATTAAAGGTGAGAAGCCTGGTTCATATTTAGATGTTTGAATAAGAACTGGTACCTAAGGACATCTGAGGGACTCAGTCTGTGGAGCAAATTCAC